TAGACAAGGTTGCCCGATGTCTCCAGCACTGTTCGCCACTGTTATTGAGCCGTTAGCTGCAATGATCAGATCTCATGATTATATTAAAGGTATTAAGATTGGGAAGGAGGAGCATCTCATATCTTTGTATGCTGACGATATCTTGTTGTATATTCATGACCCATTAAATTCAATACCATTTATTTTATCAGTATTTGGAAAATTTGGGAAGTTATCAGGTTTTAAAGTTAATTGGGACAAAACAGAGATAATGCCAATTTCCAATTTCGACCAAACTTTATTGAAAAGTCATTATAATTGGAATTGGTCTATTAAATGTATTAAGTATTTGGGTTTGTTTATTCCTAGAAAATTGGAGGACACCTTTAATTTGAATTACCTTCCATTAGTTAATAAAATAACAGAGGAATTAAAGAGAATGGGACATCTTCCTATTTCTCTTGTGGGTAGGGTTAACATAGTTAAAATGTCTGTTTTGCCCAAGTTTTTATATTTATTTCAAAATCTTCCAATTATTCCATCACAATCTTTCTTTAAAAAAGTACAGAGTTTAGTTTCCTCCTTCATATGAAACAATAAAACCCCACATGTTCAGATGTCAGTGACTGTGTTTACAAGGTCTTTAGTATCCCGGTTTTGAGGCTTATCCCGGCTTTGGGCATGTCCGGGATATGATGTTTACATGGAACACAGAGAAACCCGGTTATTCTGATCACTGCACCCTATCTGCGCAGGCGTGTGTTACGTCTTTTACGTCTTTTGTTTACAACAGATTGAGCGGGAAATGTGATATATTTATTAATTATATTTAATTATTAATTATTATTATTATAAATATTAATATTTTCCACCGCGACCTAACTTGTTCAACAGTGCGAGGTGGAAAACCAGCGTCACGTAGCTTGTCCGCAACAGACTTGAATAGGTCAGCATTTCTGTGTCTTCTGCCGTCTAAACACATAGTTATGTTAAGTTCTTTCATCATTTTCAGGCAAAATTCAGTCTTTTTGTCGCTCCAAAAATGGGAAGCTCTCGTTGCCGCCATGTTGCTTGTATATCTGGTGCGTCACTCTGGCACCTGCGCACACGGCGGGCAGCCGTCAGAGACCGGGATAAGACGTATACATGCTCCAGTATCCCGGCTTCTATCGGAGTACTCCAGGTGGCAAAACCGGGTTTCTTGAAACCGGGAAAAGGGCATAACCCGGTTTCTGAATTCGGGATATGGTGTTTACATGCACAAACACAAAAACGGGATACTTAAAAAACCCAATCAAAACCGGGATACTAAAGACCTTGTAAACACACTCAGTTTTACATTTACCATACGAATCTGGTGGCCTGAAGCTTCCCAATTTTTATTACTATTTTTTGTCATCTCAGCTTAATCAATTTAAACAATGGTTTTTAAATATTTCATGCTCATGGAAAAAATAGAATCTTTGGATATCCTTCCATACAGCTTGGAATTTACCTTATATTGAGCTCAAAGTAGTGGATAAATTACTAAGAATCCGGTTATATTAAATAGTCTAAGTATCTGGAAATTGTCTCATAAATTGTTAGGCTATAAGATCTCCCTTTCTCCCTTTTCCCCAATTTGGAAGAATCCAAGTATTACATGTTGCAAGGATGACACTTTTAAATTTTGGTATGATAAAAGGTATCCAGGAATTCTGTCATCTGTTTGAAAATGGGACATTTCTTTCATTTGTTCAGCTACAACAGAAATATGGATTACCTTCTTCCCATTTATTTTGATTTTTTCAGTTAAGACATGTGGTAAATACTGAGAATGGTTCTCTTCAAGAACCTATGCCATCAAAAATTGATGTCATATTAAACAGTAACGAGCAGAACAAGGAAAAAGTTATTTCTAAGGTCTACAATATTTTTGTTGAGTGTTCTGTTATAAATACAGATAATTTAAGATGTAAGTGGGAACAAGATCTTCATATGGAAATACAGAGAGAGGATTGGACATACATTTGTAGGCAAGTTCATAAATGCTCTTACAATCTAAGGCATAAACTAGCCCTATTTAAGATGATACACAGGAATTATTATACGCCAGAGAAGTTACATAAAATGAACAGTGAGATGTCATTTTTCTGCTGGCACTGTAAGAAACAAAAAGGAACATTTTTTCATATGTTTTGGTCATGTGATGCACTTTCCTTTTTTTGGAATTCTGTGACAAAGTTGATATCTCAATGTCTACATGTATCTGTCTCTCTGTCACCTCGTTTATGCCTTTTGGGAACTAGTATGTCTGATAAGTGGAACAAATATAAAAGCAGATATATAGATCTTGCTATGTTGGCAGCCAGGAAATGTATAACTTTAAATTGGAAAGAATCCAAACCCCCAGCAATAGTCCACTGATGGAATGAACTCTCAAGCTACCTTACACTTGACAATATATATATTACAAGAGTAAAGGCAGATCCTCAGACTTTTTAAAAATATATATCTCATATAGAATTTGATTTTAAGAATTTATTAGGCCAATGTAAGGCATAGTGACAATGATAAGACCTGAATGCAATAGTTTGTGTTGTTCTGTTGTCTTGTTTGTTGTAAGTGGGGTCTTCCCACCTTTTATGTCTGTTTGTTTGGTCAGGTTTTTTGGTTTTGTTGTTTTGTTTCTGTTTGTTATGAGGGTATATGTTTGGATATCATTTTGGTTCTCTAACTGTTTATAAGGGTACCAGCCCCTACTTAGGATAGGAAAATCGGGACATTAAGTGTTTCCCTTTTCTACTTGTTTATAAATTCCCTACTAGGGCTGGGCGGTATGACCTAAAATTTATATCACGGTATAAATCGAATCCCTTCACGGTAACGGTATATATCGCGGTATAATTTCAAGTGTAAAAGTTATAATATAAGTGTTTCTGAATGGGTTTTGTAGTCCCTTAGCAAAGCTAAATTGATAAAAAAAAACAACAACAACAAAAGCAAAGATATAATGTATTTTTTAGAGCATTTATTGTGCAGAATGCAGAACTCAAAATTAAAACCCAGTACTCTATGGTGCAAAATGTCCCCTGGGATCTATATCAAAAGGTAATTTCCTTCTTTTAGCAAAATCCTAAATGACTGAGTTGTGTTTTTTCCACCTGGACCTTTATGCTCTGCCATTTCTCCTCTAATCATCACGCTGTAACCTGACAGGCTGCTATGATACCACAACTATCACACATTCACATATGGAGTTTTTTGTGGAGCCCCTAGCGTCACATAGGTTTACATTACCAAAGGTTTATGACAAACTCTCTTGCCGAAAACCAACTCCCGTGTGCGCACGGCGAGAGAGGAGAGGGAGAGACGCTGTGCTGCTGCCAGAGGAGACACTGAATGAGTTCCCTCTGAGCGGTAAGTCGCTAAAAAAGTCTGAGAAGTCCGGGGCTGTTCATAAGACATTAACTCACTCACTCACAAGTTCTCCAGCAACACATGTTGCACGTGCTACGCTAAATCACGGACGTGAACCAGCTCCTCTTGCTCCGCTGTCTCTGTGCTCGCAGCCATTTTCACACTGAGGCAGGTGCGATGACGTCATCGACGATAGGACGGTAGAGCGCAAATCTCTACCGTGGGCCAAATTTATATCATTTCTACCGTCTACCGCATATACCGTGCAGCCCTATTCCCTACATCATGAAGTATGGTAGGAAGACTACCTAATTATTTCAGTTTCATTGATATGGGAGGCCTACTTAGTGTTTTCAATTAGTGTAATGGGTAGAATTTTGGTTGGATTACTTGCCATGATGATGGCACCTATGAAATATGTCTTGGTGTGTATGGACTCTGAGAGACTTGACTTTTTATAGTACCCTCTACATTGCCAAGTTTTTGTTTTTGGTTTTTTTTTTTTCCCCTTTCTGTGAGGGAAACTGAGATGTGGGGGTTAGTGTTCTGTGTATGTATATCCCTCATGCTGTGATCAAAATATAATTTTAAAAAAAAAGAAAAGAAAAGAAAGCAGAATCTATCTTGTTTGATTGTTCTCATCCTTTACATCAACAGTTTCAATTTCTTCCATCTGGTTCACTGCTCAGACTTCCACTTGCTAAAACTAACAGATATAAAGATTCCTTTCTACCTTCTGTGATCGCTCTACTAAACTCCAGGAGGAAAAGGTAGTTTTATCTGTAGTGTTTTAATTCTTTCTTAACTTATTGGTGTTTTTTGGTTTTAAATCCAGTGGCTTTTATTTGTATTTTTATTTATTTGTATTTTATTTTTACTGATTGAGTATTTTTTATTATGTATGCTATTGGTTGATATGTACTTTTAGGTTTTGCTCCCATTGCTGCACAGCCAATTGCCCCATTGGGGACAAATAAAGGGATCGATTGATAAAACCACTGGCTCTGAGGGCCATTCGCGTTTTCACATCGGCTTCTACATTTAGCAGCTCCTCCATGATGAGAAGCGTTGGAAAAACACACATTTTTAAATGTGAAATTGATTTATTCAGTGTTTTTACCAGTTTAAATAACTGTGTCTAATTGTTTTGGAGAGGAAGAGACCTCTGCAGATAATTTGTTTCCCAGTAAAAACGTCCTGAACATTAAGGCACTCTAACCAGGAGAAGTTTCATCTGGTTGCAATCTGAAATCCTCACTGCTAGATGCCACTAAATCCACCTAAATATTACACACTGGACCTTTAAAACTGTGAAAATGGGAGTAAAAAAAACAAAAGTGTTGCATTTAAATTTTTGTTCAGTGTATGTTTCTTTTTAATTATTATTATTTTTGCAAAATTTTAATAACAAGCAAATGAGATAACAGAACAGATATTTTTAGCTTTGGGTAGGCCTACGCATCAATTATATACTGTATAGATACATATATACATACATATATGTGTATATAATACAACTACAGATGGATAGATCGATAGATGAGATAGAGACTGCCCCAGCGGAAGTGCGTATCTATCCAACTCTCCCTGTCACAAGTACAGTCAAGAGCCTCAGATCCTACCTGAGTGTCTGTCAGGTGTAGTATTGTCTTCTTATAGGAGAGGATATCAAAGTCCAGAGCCTTCCACACAGCATGGCCCAGCAAATCGCCCACCTTCTTCTTCTTTGTGATAACAATCAGGTACATGCCTAACAAAAACAGGTGGTTGGAAATGAAAATGCATAGCAGAGCTCAACACACTACTGGAATCTCCCACTTCTCTAACAGCTGGTCCTTTCTATATTTTACAGGTCTGGATGCAACATAATCTTCCTGCATTTCGTACTGAACCTACCTGCCACCAAACGTATAGTCCCCATGAGTCCACATATCGGCTTGGTCTCAGCAGATGCAGGGATGTCCCTTTTCCCTGGGGACCAGAGACAATGGTTAGTGACAGTGTGTTCAGAGGACAGCTGTAGAATGATGTGAACTAGGGCTGCAACTAATGATCATTTTTATCATTGATGATTCTCTTAATGATTATATTGGTTGATTATTATCTACTCTCTTGACAAAAAGTGATGCCTTACAGCTGACTTTTCAATGTGAACTACAAATAATATGAGACAGAGAAAAAATAGCAAAGTCCTCATAATTGTACCAATAGAACAAGTACATGTTTGGCATTTTTACCTTATAAAGGACTAACACGAAACTGCTGGGCCTCCATTAAACTCCTGATTTTGACATTTTGTCTAAGTTGCCTAATTGGTAATCCAGCTTTTTTGTTCTTGAGCTGCCTGCTGCTACAGTCTCTTTTCCAAGATAATCCATCCACCTGACAGGTGTTTTATCTCAAGATGCTGATTAAGCCTTTGGGCCCTAGGACTTTTTTGGGGTATTTTTACTGCCTTTACTTTTAAGCTCATATCACAGTCATTATAAAGGCTACATACACATGCTATATCTTGTTTTTTTCAGAAAAATTCAGGAAAATCTGGGCTATCTAGATTTGCCATCATTACATGTCCTTATATGTGCCTGTATTTTATATTAACTTTTATATCAATGCAAAAAAAAAATCTGTGTTACTAAATTCTTACATTTTTACATGTATCTCACCATAGCAAGTTGGAAGTAGACATACTCTGCCATATATGAAGAGGGGAGCCTCTCTGGAATCTGGCAATATAAGAACTATGATGGTGGGACATTCTGTCTTTTTACAGTTGTCCAAAACTTGTGGTTTGTGCCAGGCGGACATAATTGTGCGTGGCTTCTCGCTATGACGAACGGTTGCGGAGAAAATCCATAGAGAAGAACAGGTGTGAATTTGGACGCACTTTGCATCGTTCGGGCCCATAGGGTTAAACAGCATCATTACTATACAGTTGTGTCTTGGGATGGTCACAATAAAAGGACACTTTAAAATGTGGAGTTTGATCACACAACACAATGACACAGATGTCTCAAGTTTTGAGGGAGCATGTCATTGGCATGCTGACTGCAAGAATGTGCACTAGAGCTGTTGGCCCTGAAATGAGCATTCGTTTCGCTACCAGAAGTTGTGTCCAATGTCATTTCTGTGAATTTGGCAGTACATCCAACCAACCTCACAACAGCTCATGTCAGTTATGATGACAAACTGCTGTCAGGCAAAGGCCCTGATAAGGATGATGAGAGCTTCCCTGAGACAGTTTCTGACGGTTTGTGCAGAAATTCTTTGGTTGCGCAAACCATTTATTGTATCAGCTGTCTGGGTGGCTGGTCTCAGACAATCTTGCAAGGAGGTCCTGGGCTAGAGTGGTTATACGTCTGTGGTTGAGGTCAGTTGGATATACTGCCATTCACGGAACTGTGACCACTGTGACCACTGTGACCATCCTAAGGCACAACTGTGTAGTAATAATGCTGTTTAATCAGCATCTTAATAAGTCACGCCTGTCAGGTGAATGGATTATCTTGGAAAGAAGAAGTGCTAACTAACATTGATTTTAACCAATCTGAGACCAGAATTTGGGATATATTTATTGTGTGTACATAAAAGTCTTAGATTTTTTTACTCAAAACCTGTAAAAAATGGGAGCAAAAACAAAAGTGCTGCATTTTATTTTTGTTCAATGTATGTACAGTGCTGCTTGAAAGTTTGCGAACCCCTTGACTAGTTTACATTTTGCTGTTGTTTTACTATGATTTTCTTATCTTATCATCACTGGTTTTTATATATGAAATTCAGGTTTATGTGCATCAATTCCATGTACTTGTTTTGAGCAAACCATGTGAGTAGCCAGCAGACTACGTGGAACATGGAATCGGCGTATGTGCAAAAATAAGTGAACCACAGCTGCATTGGTAAAGTCAAGTAGGTAATAGACTCAGAAGAAAAGGATAACAGGAGCGCTGCTGGTGTCCCTCAAACCACCGGTGCTCATGGAAGGGTTAAAAAATCCTAAAGAATCGAAGTCCAGGCACTCAGGTTGGTTTGGAAAAATTTAAAAGCCTTTATTTAATGGGCAAGAGTCATTACAAACATCAACGCGTGTCGGCTTCCTCAGGGTGTATGAAGACAAGAGAGCAAACAAAGCAATTATAGTTGCAATCACTTCAGCTGTGAATCATTCAGTCTGTGCCATTTTCTTTAGGCCTCTAGGAGGCCTCAGTCAAGAATTAGTACAAGAAGACTGTAAGATTGTAACTTCTGGGGGCATCAGACAACAAACTTATTGAGCCCCTCTCACAGACTGTCAAATCTTAACTAAATAAGAATAATGTAAACAGAATAGAATCCACAATAGAAACCATACGAAAAATAATACAAGTATATACATAAAGATAAAGAAATAAGCAAAACCTCCAATGCAGATGCGCAAATGATGACATCTGCATAGTATCTTAAATAAAGTGAAGCTGTCTTGTCAGGACCATTACACATTGTCATTTACAAAACAAAACAAAACAACATAAAGATAAAGAAATAAGCAAAACCTCCAATGCAGATGCGCAAATGATGACATCTGCATAGTATCTTAAATAAAGTGAAGCTGTCTTGTCAGGACCATTACACATTGTCATTTACAAAACAAAAAACAAACAAAAAAAAAAAAACATTTACAAAAAGGATAAGAGGTCAAAATCCTCATTGAGGCCAGGAAAGCTGGTGGTCTTAAGGGCATGGATCCAATATGCCTCTCTTTGCTTGAGGCGTTTGACTTTATCTCTACCCCTGGCACCCAAGCTAATGACCTCAATACCTGACACTCTTAGGGATGAGTCATTTGAATGTTGTGCTTCCATGTAATGTTTGGCCATAGGATAATTCAAATTTCCAGTCCGAATGGCGTACCTGTGTTCAGCCACTCTGTCCCTCAGTCTTCTTTTAGTAAGGCCCACATAGAAACAGCCACAAATACACTCAAGTCGGTACACAACATGGGTAGTGTTACAATTAATAAAACTTGAGATAGAATAGATTTTATTATTAAACATATCCCTAAAAGTGTCTGTTTTCACCATGTTTTCACAGTATTTACAGTTCCCACAGCGAAAACTGCCCTTGGGTCGACAAAGCCTGGTCTGTCTGGTTTGTTAGCAGGAAGATAACTCCTTACTAGTTTATCCTTGATTGTAGGGGCCCTTCTAAAGCTGATACCTGGCAATTCAGGGAATATCTCCTGTAAAGATGGGTCACTCTCAATGATATCCCAATTTTTCTTTATAATGTGCTTGATCTGGACAGCTTCTTTACTGTAGCGTGTGACAAAGTAGGGTTTCTGAACTTGCTCTTGTTTAGGTGTAAGGCCCGAACATACTCGGGCGTACTATTAGCAGAGCGGACTTCGTGAGGAATGTCCGCAGGCATTCGGGCTTTCATAGTCGAGCGCACTTCCGCGTTGTAGTTTCCTGTAAAAATGTCCGTGAAAAATCCCCGCGATGTGAAAAATACATGCCGAGCAGTCACTGGTGCGCGGAGCAGAGTCCACGCGGTCGTAAAATCTGAGCTTTGCGCGCACAGGGCTTGCGGACGTCCGCTTTGAGTCCACACGGACCTTCGCGGAGTCCGTTCCGCGTACGTTCCACCCGAGTATGTTCGGGTCTTTAGGGCAGCTTTCACCCTCCATGGCTCATTAACAATATCCCTTATGGACAAACCCAAAGACTAAGACGTACAGTACAGGCCAAAAGTTTGGACACACCTTCTCATTCAATGCGTTTTCTTTATTTTCATGACTATTTACATTGTAGATTCTCACTGAAGGCATCAAAACTATGAATGAACACATGTGGAGTTATGTACTTAACAAAAAAAGGTGAAATAACTGAAAACATGTTTTATATTCTAGTTTCTTCAAAATAGCCACCCTTTGCTCTGATTACTGCTTTGCACACTCTTGGCATTCTCTCCATGAGCTTCAAGAGGTAGTCACCTGAAATGGTTTCCACTTCACAGGTGTGCCTTATCAGGGTTAATTAGTGGAATTTCTTGCTTTATCAATGGGGTTGGGACCATCAGTTGTGTTGTGCAGAAGTCAGGTTAATACACAGCCGACAGCCCTATTGGACAACTGTTAAAATTCATATTATGGCAAGAACCAATCAGCTAACTAAAGAAAAACGAGTGGCCATCATTACTTTAAGAAATGAAGGTCAGTCAGTCCGGAAAATTGCAAAAACTTTAAATGTGTCCCCAAGTGGAGTCGCAAAAACCATCAAGCGCTACAACGAAACTGGCACACATGAGGACCGACCCAGGAAAGGAAGACCAAGAGTCACCTCTGCTTCTGAGGATAAGTTCATCCGAGTCACCAGCCTCAGAAATCGCAAGTTAACAGCAGCTCAGATCAGAGACCAGATGAATGCCACACAGAGTTCTAGCAGCAGACCCATCTCTAGAACAACTGTTAAGAGGAGACTGCGCCAATCAGGCCTTCATGGTCAAATAGCTGCTAGGAAACCACTGCTAAGGAGAGGCAACAAGCAGAAGAGATTTGTTTGGGCCAAGAAACACAAGGAATGGACATTAGACCAGTGGAAATCTGTGCTTTGGTCTGATGAGTCCAAATTTGAGATCTTTGGTTCCAACCGCCGTGTCTTTGTGAGACGCAGAAAAGGTGAACGGATGGATTCCACATGCCTGGTTCCCACTGTGAAGCATGGAGGAGGAGGTGTGATGGTGTGGGGGTGTTTTGCTGGTGACACTGTTGGGGATTTATTCAAAATTGAAGGCACACTGAACCAGCATGGCTACCACAGCATCCTGCAGCGACATGCCATCCCATCCGGTTTGCGTTTAGTTGGACGATCATTTATTTTTCAACAGGACAATGACCCCAAACACACCTCCAGGCTGTGTAAGGGCTATTTGACCAAGAAGGAGAGTGATGGAGTGCTGCGGCAGATGACCTGGCCTCCACAGTCACCGGACCTGAA